AATGGGAAGGATTTGTTTACCCTCTCATCTGCAGCGCTCAGCAGATACATTTCCACTTGCGAAATAGTAAGCGGGTATCAAACACTTTCTGTTCACCCTTCTGTCAAACATGGTCTGTCTCTGACCACCTCTGAATGTGGGTCGAGTGATCTGATTGTAATCCGCTCAGTGTGGCCTGGGTGTGATTACACCTCGCTTTCCATTAGGCCAACTGAAATCTGAACATCACTGAAATCACTGAAAATGCAAGATGATTTAGGTAAAAAAAAACAGCCTCTCTGGTTCATTTAGTTTACCAGATCTTTCTTAAAGAAAGACATTCTAAAAAAGCTACCAACATTAGAAGGTTGGTGTTGGCTGGGTCTGTGCCCTCTTGCCTTAAGTCAGTCATGTTTCGGAACTAAGCTTGAATGATAATGTAAATTAGATGCTCTCATCCATTTCACTCTCTGCAAGAGAGCAGATCTGATGTACTGGAGTTTTTTTCCTTTGCATTTTCTAAAGCATTCCCCAGGCTGAAAATCTACATTATAATCTTTTCAAGTGGTGTTCAGAGCCAGAGCATGTAGTTAAGTAGTTGTTGTTCTGTTTGTATAGGTTGTAATTAAGTGCAATTCTTTATATGGTTTAACCAATAATACATTAGAATGAGTGTACAAAGGGAATGGTTTTAAATAAAGCTGAAGCCATAGAATAAATAATATGGCAAAGAACGAAAAAACAATATATTGCATAATATCAACACATCACATTAGTTGGTAATAGTTATTATCAGCCCAAGGCTATTAGAAACCAGAATAAATTGTTCACCTAAAATGTTCACCTTTTGCTAATAGCTTATAATAATGACATATGAAAGTGAGAGTGATTTTGCTGTTCTGTTGGGGACGAGATGAGGTTATAGTTGAGAGATTGAGAAGGGTTTAGAGAGGAGTTCATTGGGGCATCACAATCACGCTTGATCGCATCTCGGTCTCACTAACTCAACACTAAAAGGCCATTTACACCATTAGTGGAGCTCTGTGTTCTGGGACGCAAGTGTAACTGCAGCCTGACTGCCATCAACCACTACCCTCTGAATCAACCACCAACCCTCTCAGCTCCTTCGCTTTCTCTTTATCCTCTTCTGCCCTGCTGCAATTTGCATTTTATTTAGAGTTTACTCAACCTTAAACTGTATCTGAATACAGCAGTAGAAGCTAACCTTCAGACCTTCAGAGGAATGGCTTAAGATGGAATGTTTCTGCTTCAGTCCATGACATCTCCTGAGCAAATGTAGTTGACTATAAGTATACGTTGGACCTGGGAGTATACTAAGTTCACTACGTTTTCACAAGGGATGTAAAGTCTTGTATGTATTTATGTATGTATTACTTATTTGTTTGGTTTTCTTCTTAATTATATGTATCAGTGTTGAAAAGGTTTGCAAGCACCGTATACAGCTTCCTTTAGATTAGACTTTATGCTTTAGGAGGAGCCACTTACAGTGTAATCATGTTACAGAAGTAGGCAAATGTAGCTTTAATACTTTTGCCCAATTGGTGTAACACAGCATCTTTGCCCAGGCTGGGAGTCAAACCTCAGTCTGCTATGTAGAGGACAGTAGTGTTATCCACTACACCACACCAGTTGTTTATAGCTCAGCTGTGATCTGATACAGAACCTTCTGATCAGTAGAGCGCCATACCACTAAGCCACACGAGGTCACAGTGAAATGCAAACCTTTATAATGACTGGCCTTTTGCAGTGTGGACCTAGGGTTTGAACCCATTATCTCCTGATCCACAGTAGAGCGCTATGCTACTAAGTCACAAGAGGTCACAATGAAATGTAAACCTTTATAATGATGGGCCTTTTCCACTGCAGACCTGGGCTTTGAACCCAGAACCTTCTGATCCACAGTAGAGTGCTATGCTACTAAGTCACAGGATGTCACAGTGAAATGCAAGCTTTTATAATGATGGGTCTTTTGCACTGCAGACCTGGGCTTTGAACCCAGAACCTTCTGGTCTGCAGGCAAATTTGTTACCTATGCAAGTGGCGGGTTCCAGATTGCATTAATATAACTTTCATGCAACTTGAGTTACATGAAGAAATGCAAAAACAATGTTGCATGGAACAATTTGCCTTATTCCACTAGTTGGCAAAATAAGCAGTATTCAAGTATCCAAGAGATGTTATGCCAGTGGCTGTTTTGTATTAATCTCTATGATGTATCAATGTACATTGTCATGATAACGTGGTACATAATCACTGTTCTAATTAGCTGTTTCATACATGTTTCACAAAGTTGAGATGGTTGCATGTGTTGCAGCTGAGTTTCAAAGTTTCATGTGAGTTGCAGGAGGATTTACGTTCTGCAACGAAAGCAAAACTTAGTTTTATGTTATTTTCAAGCAACTAAACAATATAAGCAATGCAAAGCCAGCCTAAGAAGTTGCTTCCATGTATATATTATGGGAGGAATAGATGTAGCCCACCTCGTTTAAACTATTTAAAGGCTCATATTAGTAACATCAATAATACTTAAATGCATCCTGTCGCCTGTTAACCAAGCATTGTTTGTTGGGTTTATATATATTATAGGTTATAAATATTGACCAGCTGCCTCTGAATGTTAAATTGCATTAATTATCCTCTGAATAAGTATTAGTATTCAGTAACTCTCCTCAAGAAAGTTTTGGTCAAATCTCTACCTTCAAAGCAAGTCTAGGAAATTTTGTATGGATGTGGTGACTATTGGTTCCATATTAGATGAAAAGCTTCCCTGGAAAATGTATTCCACTCCTGGCACATCTACACACCCTTTAATTAGGAATGCCTTTATCTATAATGAAACAAACTGAGCTGGAAAACAATGCTTTGGCTGGACAACAATGGAGACCCTCGACTTCATTTGCATGGATCCGAACCCCCGCTAAACCAGAACCACAATTTGTCATCAATTTCAGGGGGGAGGCGCAGGAGGGGGTCCATCATGGTTTCATTTCAAATGCCCTGATGAATCATTAGCAGACACATCTGTATGAGATCTGCATGCGGCTGGCGTAGCGCCGCAGGCCATGCGGCGAGACACGCATGCTTTCTCACTGGAGAGCTAACACCTCCAAATAGGTGCCGCTATCACTGATAATCACTGCCTCCACCCTCGCTGAGAGGTCCTGCACAAGTTCATGAATTTTTAACATGGAAAGCCTTTAATTTGCAAACGAGCCAGTCCACGTTAGAGGACCCAGAAGCATCGGCTGGGCTTTGAGTGCTTTAATTATTTTCTCATCCTCTGTTTGGCTTCCAATTTATTGTTCCGCGCTCGGTGGGAATCCAGATCTGCAAATTTAGTGAAGGCAAATAAACACAAGACAAAAGACGGACTTCCCAATCTCCCGGTTTCAGTTAATAAGGATGATTACGGACTGCAGCGAGACAGGCTATTACCGCAAACAGGTTATTTGGACAGAGCTGAATTTGTGTCATGCATCTTAAGTACATAGGCCTAGGTAATCCCTTAGAAGTCACCTTTATCACTGCCGATAACAAATGCATGGTGTAATTTGATATCACTTATTTCTCACTCATCACCAGAAATTCTGTTGGAAGTGGAGATTCTGAACTTTCCATTTTTCCATGTTTATATTTGTATGTATGAGCCAAGATATTTTATCACAATTTGAATTATATAAATGTTATTGTTGTACAGACTTGTTTTGTGGGCAGTGAACGTTAATGGAGTTCTCTTTCTGGTCCTCTTTAGCACTGAGACCACTTGTTGTTCACACCAACTCCTTTAGATTTCAGACTTCACTTAATGCTGAATTACACGTGGAGTTCAAATTCATCGTATAATACCATGCAAAAGTTAGAGACCCCTATTCATTGATTTAATTTCCAGTTAAAATAGCCTTTAAGTACAAGTTACTCATATTTCAGCATCAGGAAAAACAGAACCCAGAAAGCAGAACATTTAAACATCAAAAATTTCAGTATTTAGTGCGTCTCTGCCTCTTCACACTTCCAAAGTTCAGTCTTAAAAGTTGTTTTTGCATATGCAAACACATTGAGTGATGTTGAGGTCTGGACTCTGGGGTGGTCAGTCCATTGTTCAGCTTCTTTGTTTGATGTGTCCGTCTCCTTTTCTCAGTGAGGTTCTTCTTGACAGCTACACATCCTTTCAGACCCACAGCGCTGAGTCGTCTTCTCACAGTGGAAGGATGGACAGAAACACCTGTGGATGTTTTCAGATCTGAAGCAGCTTGATTTTCTCCTCTCTCTCAGAGATGAAAGCTTGAAGTGCTGTTGATCTGATGGGGTCAGTTTTGGTGTCTACCAGGTCTTTGATGGTTGTTAGGAGGCCCATAATAGGAGTTCCACCATTTAACTTGTAATTAATGGTCATTTTGATTGGAAATTAAATAAATGAAGGTTGGTGCCTGACTTGTCTAAGATATGCTTGAAACTATGTCAAAATTCCCCAGTAAAAGCAAGTTATTAAAAACCATTAAACAGTTACAGTTATTCATGAACTTATTTTTTGATAAATGCTTCTATATTGAACACAGTTCATATGGTAAAATCACTGAAACACATGACCTCCAATTTATAGTCTGTGGCTGTGCATGTACAGGAGGATGTTCTATAACCATAAAGCAGAACATGAAGCAGAGTCATGTTTTCACCATGAACTAATCAATCTGAGTGCAAAACAAACCACAAATGAAGCATATCAAGACCACCTGAGGAGATATTCTGATGATGTGGGTCCATTTAGAAGGGTCTGAGAGCACTTTTAATGCTGAAACTGTGCAAGTGTGAAAACACCCTAAATCAAATGCAAATTAATTAACTTACTCTATAACTGAATGTGTATTTGTACTGTGTTTCTTTGAATAAAACAAACATAACTTTCAACTTATAAGGCAGCGCAGAGTTGCTAAGTGCGGAAATCTTTCCATCACTGTCTTTCCCTGTGTGTGTGTGTGTGCGTGTGTGTGCGTGTGTGCCAGTTCTACAGATGTTTCCGAGCCCTGCTGATGTGTTCTGCTCCAGAGAGAGGTTCCAGTTACAAAAACTCATCCAAGGGCACCAAAATTCTCAGGACGATGCGACGTGCCAATGGCCACCATGCGACCTTCGTGGTGGCCACAGCTGGCCTACCCACTGGCTGCGCTGCAGACAGCGTCAGGCCAAAAGGCGGCTCTGAGGGTGAAGGCCAGCCACCCGCAGCAGGACCGTCTCCAGGAACAGTGAAGCCCACCGTGTCACTTGTGGCATATTACAATGGCTGAGCGTGAAGGATGGGCAAAGCTAGCTGACCCTGTTGTCCTGCTGCGGTAGAGGTGAAGAGGTGGTGACCGGGGGAGCTGTGAGCAGTGACCCAGTGGAGCTGCAGATCACAGAGAGCCAAGAAAGAGTCATTATGATTGGGGAAGAGAAGAGTAATGACAAAGATGACTGATCAGCCTGTTCTGCAGAAAAGTGATGAATTCAGGAGGGAACTGTCTTTTTAAGCATCATCCATACTGTTACATGGATGGTGCACTTTAGGGCCTCACTGATATATCGGTTGACTGATAATATCAGTCAATATTGAGCCTCCACAGAATTATCGGTATTGGCAAAAAATCTAGTAGATAATATTATTGAATTTATTCTATATGTTTTATGTATAAAATTACAGCAATACAAGCTGAACTAGGAAACACCACCATGATACAAATAGCAAAATGCATATAAAATGTCCAAATGTAAGCTTTAGCGTTACTTTTTCTGTTTATTCTTTTATTTGTTTACTGTTTCTATGAAGAGAAATGAAAAATAATCAGCAAAATCACCAAGGATGCTAGGAAGCTCCACCCCCGATGATATTTATATCATTTAAGATTTTCCAATCAGTATAAGAAATGTGGCAATTAAGAACTGACAATCATATCTGACTATTCAGTTTACAACTGACCGTCGTATCAGTCAGTAAAGTTTAACTGTAGCTATTGGAGTCTGCTTGAACACATTCAATTATATTGGCTGATATCATTTTCATATCAGTCAGTCCCTCGTACAGTTATGCATGACCTCTCTGTGAGATTGTGCAAGGATGGGGATGAAGGCATAAGAAGCTGATGTAAGCAAACAGAACGGACGACAGAAAATAGCTCAACGCCTTGTCGTCTTTATATTGGAAGCGCTTATTGCATTTCCTTTAGACAATAAATGCACTTTGACCTGAATTTATCATACACAGAGCACAAATCTGTACACATATAAAATATATTTTGTATATAAGTCGTTTCATAGCTTTTGTGTAGGCCAAATTGGATCAGGGTTCTTTTTAGAGGTATAGTAATTTAAAGTTGATGTTCTGTCTTGTTGTACAACATGTGTGTGGTTTCTCTGTAAGCCTAATAATAAAAGGGGACATCAACTTACTGATGGTAAAACAGAGGTTGTTACTGTTGTAACTGTTGAGTCAACAGTTTAGCAGAGGTCACATTACTGTCCTTTTTAATGTAGAGATTCATATATTTCAACATTCTTAACCATCAAAAAAAATAATAAAAAATCGGGGCTGCATTACAGAAACTTCTAGGATCAGGTCAAGATACGATTTTTCTTAATTTAGGAATTATATCTTACAGCATCTTATCTCAAGTTAGGAAATCTTAACCTACTCAATCAATGTCGTCAATCAGTTGTTATGTCTATCGTCATGTCTGTTATCAAGCAACAGCGGAAACGTGAACACTTGCAAGGGCGCGGGGGGGGATTTTTTAAGTTGGGGGTGCTGATATTGTTGGGGGGTGTTTTTCAGTTTTTGAAAAAGCTGCTAATAATGCTGTAATTAAAATACAGCATTCGCTTAAACAGTGCACAACTACTACAGATTTAAAAAATATACACATAAAATATAAAGATACAAACTCCTTTCTAAAACAACCACACACGTTTTTTCTATGCGCAATACATTATGAAGTTCAGAACATTTTATTATTATTATTATTATTTTTAGCAGTTGTAATCCTGAAATCTGGGGGTGCTACAGCCCCCTCAGCACCCCCACTTTCCTCATCTCTGAAGACGTAATCAAAATAATGTTAAAATTATAAGTTACAGCTACCGTTATCAGTATAAAAAGTGGTCTAAACAAAATTAAAGTGCAATACACTGGAGATAAAGGACATTGTGACAGTGGCCTGTGCTGCCTGCTCCCCAGTTTCAGTTTCCATTTCCCTTTAGCCAACAGCGCTAACGTTATTCCTCACAATAAAAACTCATCACTTCCCTGAATTATTTTATGAGTTTTCGTCAACATTAACACATGAAGGTAATAAGAGGAGAGTGGAGATCGTGTCTGCAGTGTCTGTGATATTTATAAAAAATACAGAATTACAAAAAAAGGTCGAGAAAGTCAAACCACAAAATAAATAAACAAACATTATTATGCTATCAGTGAACTATTCTGTCTGCCACAGCTGCCTAAAAAGGATAGAAGTGAACGGTTAAAACAGAAGTTAGGACACTGTTGGGGTTTATTCTAAAGTTAGAACAGTATTTAGGAGATTTACTCTAGTTAGCATGTTTCTTACTGCTTTCCTATCTGGAGTTAATGGATAAAATTATGAACTTAACTGTTATTCTGTAAAAGCTACTGTCCTAAATTCAGTCCTAACTGAAGTTGTCATAGTGACTAAACAGAAAAGATTTCAGACGTGAAGATCTTTCTGTAATACAGCCCCAGTTATAAAAAAAACGTTTTTTGACTTTTAATAAAAGTCGCCAAAACCTAAAGCCAGAGTTACAGCCTATGTATTTTCTAAGTGTTTTCTAGGATGTTTTGTTTGCATTACACCAATGAAGTCCAGAGCTCTTGGCACTAAGTAGACTGTTGCCTTCCTGAGCCTTTAATGAATTAGGAGAGCTTGGCTCTAGTGGACCTGGACTGGACGTTGAGGCCTGTATGAGCAGGCGGATGCATTTGGATTGTATTCTATCCACTGCGACGCTGCGGAGCCTGGAAACAAACACAAGAGCGAGAGACTGTCGAAAACTGCTTCAGGGGATTACACAGCGATAGCTGAAACCTTGTACAGGAACGTTTGAGATTTAGGGCTAGAAATCCTATTAGAAAATAAATAATTTTTTTACGCTTCAGCGTAATGCTTTTATTGCGCTGGGTGAGAGTGAAGAGAAGTGTTGGATTTGCATTTTAACCAGTCGCATTATGATCAGCCCAGTTTAGTTCTGTACCATAAACTAGACTACCTGAATAATTGCCAGTCCTTGACTATAGGCTGTTTGGAGAAGTTTTTCAAAAGAGTTTCTTATGATGATTATTATTCAGTATAATCCTTTTATCGTCACTGATGAAGTAGATTAACTGCAGAATCCAGTTGAATGTGTACATGTATACGTTATTAGCGCAGGTCTATGGACTGAGCTCCATACCGCTGGGTTCAGAATGAGCACACTAGCACTTTATGTCTCAGAATAGAAAGTAAGGAGGATTACAGGCAGTTTGAACCACAAAGTAGCACATATGATACCAAGAGCCTCTTTCATGTTGATTGTTCATGTTATGTTAGTTATGAATAATTCATGTGAAAATCTGGAAATTGCTTCAGAATATGATTGCAATTATGATGCCGTTTTGATATTACAGTATTGTGCAAATATGTTAAATGTTGAATTACATTTGTGGATATCATATGATTGTGTGTTAGTAGCTTGATGATTTTGTGTGACCCATTTTAGTGCTTGTATATTTTTGAACATGGATATATTTTTGGCGTCTACTCAACTTTTGTAGACACCTCAGAATCCACAAAACCAGATGGGGTTGAATGAGAGATTTTAAACAGTGGACATACAGATCTTCTGCAGGAGTGCTACACATCTGTAAATGGTGAACTTGTCACAGTTGTCTCTTTAACCCACATGCAGTCAATCAGCCAAGACCTGCTAGGCGTCTGAACTTGGCTTCTTTAGTTTTGCACTGGAGCTATGAGGCTAATGTGGCTAACGAGTAATGGAAGCTTATTTTTAAGCTACATTTTTACGATGACATTGTGCTGATTTCTGTGGACCACGTTGAGTTGTGAAGTGACCTCAGATTGACTTGTTTATGTGGTGACACTGTACATACTCATACTCATACAAAAGTATAGGCTGATTTCTACTCTTGGGGCCAGACGTGATCGCATAACAAGAATATACATCACTGGACAATGTGCTAAGCTTTCGGTGCTGGACTGTGGCAAGAAAATCTGCTAAAACCTGCTCCCAGATTCTTCTAATCTGTGCTCTTACAACATCAAGAGTACAATCTCAAACAAGCAAAACCGGATAGCGAGTGAAGTGATATCCTTGGCTAATGGAGCTGTTTTTTCCCTGCGAGAAGTAATGTTTATTTTTACTGAATGTAATGTGTTCTTTGCACATGTGACACATTTTGGGGGGCCGTTTCAGTCTAGCTAACTTTCATTTCATCATAGGTTTAGCGACAGGCTTGTTGTCCGTTGACAAGCGCACCATCGTGGTGGGGCGTCGTCCCTCTACTTTGAAAAGTTGTGGCTCAAATGCCCTCTCGGCCCAGTCGCAGCATCCATAAGAACATGGGTTCTAGATTCATTTGGGCCAGTGTGGAGTCTGATCATACATCCCCATGGCATACAGCCATACACCATACAGCCACGTTTTTCACAATGGGCCTCATTCATCAACCCTTATTACGAAGAAATTTCTTCTTAAAACCAACTTACGTAGTTTTCATGAAGATTCTCGCATTCATCGATGTTTTCTTATTTGGATTTGTTCTTAGGTAAGAACAGAATCAACACACACTCAAGAGCACAAAGGCACAATTCTTTCAATTTAAGAACATGTCGTGAATCTGACGTTGACTTTTTCTTAGGACCTTTCTCAAGAACAAATCTAAGAACAACTTAGGAAGATATTGGTGAATGAGGCCCAGTGTTATTGGATGAATCATATATATCAGAGCTGCCAATCAGCAACCCTGGGAGGAACCTCAGTAAGCACATGCTCTCAGGAAAAAGGTACTAAACCATCACTGGGGTGGAACCTTCAAGCGTACGTCTCCAGCCCCCTACTTTGTGCTCTGCATTCAGGAGGCGTTGGATTGGTTTCGAAATTTCACACTCAGTTTGTTCCTACCCTAATAAGTCTATGTTCCCACATACATTTAGCCCAAGATTTCAACATAACTGTCCCAGGATGTTCTCGTTAGGAGATCAACATACTTTTCTCCATTTGTATAGATAACAGTGTATTA